CCCGACCCCGCCGCCTCCCCACCCGCGAAGGTCACGGCCCGCAGGCCCCGGCCGAGCCGGCGGCGACGCTCGCGCTACCTTTGGCCTCGCAGTCGGCGCAGTACTTGTTGTCCTCCTCCCGCAGCAGCTTGGACAGGATGAGCTGGTGCTGCTCGTTCAGCTTCTGCGCCTTCTCCCGGCAGGAGCGCGTCGCCATGTCGGCGGCGGAGGGAGCAGAAGAAGCCGGAGGGACGGACGCACCTGGCGCCGCTGGGCCGCGGCGGACTCAGCCCCGGAAGCGGCGGCGGCGGCGGCTGAGGCGGAGGAGGCGGGGGAGGGGCGGCGACGCCGACGTGCCCCGCCTCCTCGGCCGGCGGCCACACACCGGCCGAGCGAGGGCGAGCGGAGGGGCGGGGCGAGCCGCGACTTCCGGGGACGGGGCGGCGGGGCGCGCATGCGTAGAGCCGCCCGTGAGGCTTTGGGCGGAAGCGCCGGTGCCAAGGCGATTCCAAAGAGGTGTGCGGCGTCCCTCCCACTAGCTTTCTTTTTCGACGTGGGATTTTTACTGTGGACCTGGTGGAACCTGGCCTCGGGAGATTTTTTACAAGAATTCTCTTTCATTCACGTTCTTGCCTTCGCTTTTACCTACAAAACTTTGGAAGTCCTGTACAGTACAAAAATAGTGACTGGATGGATTTTCGTGTGCAATTTGAAAGCAAGCACTGTACTGAACGGTAGAGAAGGCAGCAGAATGAAGCAGGCAGATCACTTACTTCGGGTACATCTGTCAATGTATTGAGGGATGACATTTATTGTGATTGCTCGGCCACGAACTGCTCGCTCTCAACCCGACCGCAACCTGGGGAAGACGTTTGTGTCGTTGTACCGATACGGAAAGTGAAGCGCGGAGGCGTCGAGCAGCCGGCCCGCGTTCTAGAGCGGCTGGGGGGGCGGGTTGGGGCGCCCGCCCAAGCAGGCTGTCTGCAGGTCCCGCCGCGCCTAGGAGTCAGTCCTGCAGAGGCAGAAGTGTGATGGGGTTGCTGCTCTCACGAGAAGCTACAGAACGTGATCTTTAATGCAAGAAGAAGACACCTAGGAAAAGACACCCTTGAGGATGGCTCAGAGCGTCCCAGTCTACGCGTACTCGCTTTGAGCTCTGGCAGAGCCAGTTTGAATGATTCAGCGCGTTGCGGATTATTAGCAGTTTCTAATATAGGACTCCTGTGCACAGAATAAATATAGCGTTTGGTGGTGGGGGGGGGCATGAACCAGACAAGCAGGAGTCTGCCTTGCATTTTTTCCTAGTAGTAAACCCGTTTCCTACCTTGGGCCCTTGTATAAAGGTGACCTTCATGTCTACCTAATTCCGTTCGTGGAATAAGAGCTCAAACATGCTTGTGGAATTGAATAGATACAGCAATGAAGATGCTCTGGACTAAAATAAATTACAACTTCAACTGCATGGTTCTGGCAGTAATAACTAGGGAGATGTCAGGGTGAACATTATGTGTAGGCAGAAGCTATCAAGCCCGTCCTGCAGAGTGAGATTACCCATGAGTTACAGAGGCAACTATTGAGGAAGAGGAGCATGCACAAAAACATGAACACTTCAAGGAGCTTGGAAAACAAAATTGGAGCACTGGAGTATGACTAAGGAGGGAGTGAGACGAAGTGGATAAGTCAAGGATAACAGTATTATGGAAGACTTGGGCAGCCAGTCACAACTGTCTTGCCTCAATGCAGTTGACAGTGAAAAACTTCTAGATTCTTCCATTTGTATGATATGATTTTTTTTTAAAAAAGGATCTCATGGGAAAGTGCGTACAACAGTAACCAGCTAACAAACACCATTCCCCTGCCCCCTGAAAATTCTTCTTAGCACTGCACATACTCAGAAAAACCAAAGCCAGCTGACCACCGAAAGTTACCTAGAGTAGAGATGCAAGGGCCATATGGACACCAATGGGAATAAAAATGCATGCCATGTTTGTTTGTTTGTTTATTTTAATTCTAGTAGCTACATCTAAAAACAAACGGAAATGGGTGAAATTCTTTTTTTTTTTTTTTTTCCATGTATGTAGTACAGGGGCTACAGTGTCTCACTACATAGATCAGACTCATAGTGATTCTCCTGTTTTCAGGCTCCCAAGCTCTGGGCTCCCACCACGCCCAGGCTCAATCACCTTCTCAGCGCTCCCTGGGAGCAGGCCTGTTCAGCATGCCAGGGATCGAAACCTAGCCTCTGTGCTTTGCCTGAGCAGGCACTTTAGTCTGCTGAGCTATCTAGCCGGCCCTGAAATTCATTTTAATAGTACATTTTAACTCAATGTATCAAAAAATCACTTTAAAATGTAGTGCAAAAATTATTAAGATATTTGGCATTCTTGTTTTCATCCTATCTTCAAACTGCAGTTATGTTATGTGTTGTGTGTATTATACACTTACAGCTTACTTCAATTTAAAAGTAGCCAAATTTATAGACTGGGCGTGGTGGCGTGAGCCTGTAATCCCAGCTCTTGGGAGGCTGTAAACAGGTGGATCACTACAAGTCTGATCTAGTAGTGAGACCCTGAACACCCTACAGACCCTTCCCTAAAATACAAAAAAAATAAAAAAGCCAAATTTTAAATGCTCAATAGCCACATCTAAGTAATGGTTACATTATTTAATGATGTTGCTCTAGATGGTCAGCTTGGTGGCTGTTAAAACCTGAATTGTGGGCTGGGGATATAGCTCAGTGGCACAGTGCCTGCCTGGCAATTGCAAGGTCCTTAGTTCAATTCCCAGTACCAAATAAATAAGTAAAACCTGAATTGATGTGATACATGGTACAGCTATAGTAGGAAGAAAGAGCAATATCGAAAGAATTTCTTGGAAAGAAAACAATATTGCATTCATTCACCAAGATTAAGCAAAAAATTTTTTCACTAATAACAAGAAGTTTACAGTCTATTGCGAGACACAAATATGTACATAGAAAAATCAATAACACTGCCAAGTCCACAGCAAATATAAAGTGCTCTGGGACATGCTGGATCCCCAAGGTGAGCCCGACTCTCAGATTTCAACTGAGAATCACTGGCTTTTATACCTTTCTTGGTTTGATGTGCAACAGGGAAGTATATTATTTTAGCTTCTGACTACTGTCAGAACATGAATTACGTGGGCTTTTTTTAACTACTTAAGAATGAAAAGAAAAAAAAGTCATGCTATCCACCAGGGTTTTTTTTCTTTTCCTTTTTTCAATTCCTCCCATGAACTACTACTATCAGTGTGAACTGATGCCACAAATGAAGCAGTGTTTAAAGACAACCTCTCAGCAAAGGGTACCTCAGGTTAAATGCTAATTATGGTTTACGTTGGGGGTTGTAGAGATCATTATAAGTATTTGTGTTTCTGCTCCTTCACTAGTTTTACAAAAGTACCCATCGGACCAAAATTGACTAGCAGGTTGGTGGTAATAGCTAAAGGCCAAAACAGTTGCAATCATGCATACAAGTTACAAAAATGTTGTTTGTTGAAATATGTGAAGAACTACAATCGCTCAACCCTTCTGATAAACATAGCTGACTTGCACATCTTTTTTCTAATAAGCCTCTTGACTCGGCTTTGTATTTCTAGGTATACCTGATTTTGAATCATTCAACAGTAGAAAAACAGAGACAAATTTTGATTATTTGACAGTGTGGGCTAGCTGCAATTTATCCATTGTCTCTAACATAGAAGAAGCAATTCTGTAGGTACCATAAACCTATTTTAGGTACCACAAGGTGTCTTTTTACATGGCTCATTTGAATACAGGTGTTCTAAGATGGGGTTTTCTATTTTAAAATTACAATATCAAAATAAATGTGCCTTATTTAAAAAAAAAAAAAAGGGAAGGGGCTTGCCAGATAGCTCAACAGACTAAAACACCTGTCTCAGCAGCATGCAGTGGCCAGGGTTCAATCCCTGGCCTGCCGTGCTGGCCCCACCCCCAGGAAGCACTGAGACATTGATTGAGACCGGGTATGGTGGCGCACACCTGTAATCCCAGCACTTGGGTGGCTGAAAACAGGAGAATCCCTATGAGTCCAATCTATGTAGTGAGATCCTGTAGACCCTGTCCTAAATTCATTTTTAAAAAGTGAGGATGGGGTGGGGGGAGTCTCTGGGCACCAAAGGAACAGGTTATCCAATAGCATGGAAGAATCTGGGAAGTCATTACCTTGTAAATAATACTTACCTCGGCTTTAGTAGATGTAGGAAATTTTCAAGCAAAGCACAGTACAGAGGAGAAAATAGAATAGCTTGGGAAAATGTAACAGATGTCTGAAAGTACCAGGTTAAATAATGAAAGTAGTGAGGATATGGAGCAACAGGAAGCTAGAACGTGTGTAAAGGACATGCAGGTGGGGGAAAGCAGCAAGACGAAAAGGTACGCTGAGGCCAAGGGGTTAAGAGCTGGGTAGCCCAGCCAAAGTTTACACCGCATGGGGACATACAGGCCATGGAAGCTTTTGCAGAGAAAAATTACTACATAGGCACGGTTCCTTATGCCTACAATGGCAGCATGGAGAACATGGATGAGAAAATATGCTGTCACAGGACCAAATGACAGTCCTGCTGCATAATAGTCCAAAGAAGACATAGTGAAGAACTATGTTAAGCCAATAGCCATAGGACCTAGGAGAAACAGACTCAGGTGATATTCTAAAATTAAAAGCAGCAAGATTTGGCAGCTGACTTTGGGGGTGGTGAGAGAAAGGAGGTGAGAATAACACCAAGGTTTCTTAAGTTGGAAAGCAGGTAAATTAAACGGTAATCTTGATCCGCAAGACCAAGAATAGAAGGGGTAGGCCTCTAGGTCTGGCACTCGCAGGGCTGAGCATCCTGCTTGCTTAAGTGCCTTCCATGCTGTCCACACTGTCACCATGGCATAACAGGTCACTTGCCAGTGACTTCCTGGCCAGTGGCATTGCCATCACCCTCTCCAAGATGATCATGACCCAGGAGGAGCAGTCAAGCTGTCATAGCACACATGACATCAGGAGGCAGATGGCAGCCAAGAGCGATATGCAGGTCACATCATCCATGCCCCCAGCTTTGCCTTCAAGGATAAGTAGGTGCAGATGTCACTGGGGCTGTGGACAAGCAATGAAGTTCTGGAGGTATTTTGCTAACAATCTGAACTCCAGCAGGTGGCCAGGGCAACCTATCTCAGCTTCATTGACCCCCAAGACTTCTCAACCAATGGGTTCTGGTGACACTGGGAAGGCACAGAGCAAGAGTTCAAGGCATGGAAGCCTGGTGAGATCACCAACTTCGCTGCAATCCAGGACCTGA